ACTTCTTTTATGATTATTAATTATTAATCTCAATTGTAAAATATAAATTTTTCTAAAATATATTACCCACATTATCAACAACTTATCAACATAATATAATAAAATGTTTGCCAAAATAGCGGTAATTCGTTTTGTTAAAATTAAAATAGGTTAGAATTGAGTTACATTAAAACAAAATTTTTGGCAACTATGGTTTATATTGCACCAACACATCAATATGATGACTTTTGCTCAATTCTTAAAGGAACGGCAGTTTATGAAAATCTTAAATTGCTTACAAAGTATCCAACATTTTTAAGTTTTGATTTTTGGGTTCGATACACAGGTTCATTACCTAAAAACTAAATTTTGCCTTATTGATTTTTAAATAAAATTTTCTTTTTAAAATTTCTAAACTTTTAATCGGTTTATCTTAGCATTGGATGAATGTATTAGGGCTTAGACGCACAGATATGGTTTCCAGAAACCAACTAGTGATGTATGCATTTACTACTTATTACTATTTAAGCTGAGTTTATACAACACTAGTATTTTAAAGTTTATAGAATACATTAAAGATTAAAGTAGCATTTATTTAAATACTCATTAATATTAGTTTATTAATCAAATAAAAATGACTTAGAATTGAGTAAACTTATATTATAATAAAATGCTTTGTCATTCAATTACTGTTTCTGTTTATACATTAAATACAAATCTATTTAAATAATCATTTCAAAGAAATTCGAAAAATACAATATTTTAAGTGAAATTATATTTTTATTAAACGAATAAATGCTAAACTGATTGTCATATTAAATGTTATATCGGAGGTGATCTTAAATCCAAAACAGTAACGAATCGATTAGTGAAACCAATTGAAAATTATTGATTAAAAATGTTTGTATTATTGTATATTTACTCAAATATTTTTATTGTATGTTTAAAAATTTCTTAATATATTAATCATTTGAATGTTATTTTCATGTCTAATAAATATTCATACTATTAACCAAAATGAAAATTATGTTTCAACAAAATATCATAGTCACTTTTAATTCATTAAATACTAGTGTTAAGAATAGTTAATAAGTTTACAAATGTTATAAAACACTAATTTGGGGATTTTAAAAATTTTGGACGTCTCTGCTGTACAGTATAGAATTATCAGTAGAAAATTTATTGTAAAACATACCTGTTCTTAACAAGTTGTGCACTTTTATATTAAATATCCATATAATAAGAATTGTATTGAAAAAATTATTTTTTATCACCAGATATACTTTACTATCGTTTTCTCGCCCTTTAAATTATTTAATAATAATTTAATAATTTTGATAATTTACAAAACGTTGCCCATTACATTTACAATGATACAGTTTTACATTGATACATTTACAATAACTTTTCTACTGATAATCTATGTACTAATCCATATGATATTCATATTGAGTGATAACTGGCCTACAAATTGAATCATAGTTTGATCCCAACAATAAAGTCTTAAGCGCGCAATTATATTTTTAGATAATTTAAAATCATGGTTTGTATTTTAATATTTTGTATTTAAATAATCGATAATGTTTTATAATTTTCATTTGGACTTGATTCCTTGTGGAAACCAAAGGCTCAAAGGTAAAAATATACAAATATATTTAAATGCAAAAATATACAAATATATTTAAATGCAAAAATATACAAATATATTTAAATGCAAAAAGTGCAAGTACATTCCAGTTATACATAACCTAATCAATGCTTTTAATAAGTAAGAAACATTATATGGTATTATTGAAAGCATTGATTATTCCTTTGCGGATTGATAAAGTATACAGTTTGCAGTGCAAAATAAATGTTCTACTTCATCATGATAGCCACGATTTATTGATTGAAAATATTAATGTTTACATGGTTACATGAAACATTAAAATAACAATAAAAGGAAAATATAATTAGTCTTATTAATATTACGCTCTATACATTTAACAAATTAAATATTGACATTTTATTGAAAATAACACAATCCTTATAAATCTTAACTTAAATTCTTAGATCGTTTTATTATTAAAATAAATTGGTAACTAGCATAAAATTTAAATTAATATAACAATATATAAATTATAAAAATGATAGTTACATGGACAAATTTTATGAATGTTTTAATGCTTGCCATATGTTTGATTGGATGTGTGTATCAAACGTATAAAATAAGTTACCAGGGATCACATCATCAATAATTATAAGTTGGGATCTATTCAAGAGATTTAGGATCTAATAAATCATTTCAAATTATTCTTTGAATGGGTTTTCCAATTAAATTATCATTTAATATGAGTTTTATTATAAAACATTGAATTTTAAATAAGTAATAAGTTACAATTTTTATAAAATATATGACACTTATATGTAGCGAATTTTATTGTATTTTAAAGACCAGGATTGAAATATATATCTCGTGTCATGTCTAACGAGTTTAGGATTATTTGTGGATGATTATTTTCACCATACTCATCTGCTAGTCGTTTCAGCGTCTATACAATTATTAGATTTAATAAATTAAATTGCTATCTAGTTATGTGAATATCATAATATACTTTTCCAACTAAATGAGTAAGGTTATAATTGCACGCATACTGTGCGATTGAATAACTGAATGCCTGTCCAAATAGTGTTATACCTTCATCAGGGTTACGCCATAAATTCATAGCTAAAATTAATTAAATAATATATTTTGAATGTACAACGTTATATCCGGGTTGCTTATACAAATACTCAATAACTTAAGGGTCTTACAATATACATACATTTTGAATGTGAATAAATGATATAGCTTCTATTATTATTCAAATTTAGATTAATCCGGATATTTTCAATTGGTTGATAAGTTTCTAAAAGTGAATACATGTATTAGTTTTGATTCTCTCTCTCCAATAAAAATAAATAAAACAAAATACAAACCAATAGAGAAAGTGTTGAAAACAAATATTTTCGGTTTCATCCGAAGAGAGACATCACTCTTAGGATTATTAGCGGAGAATATGTCCACAATTTCTGTGAACGACATCTCATTATCGACTCCGCGATTGCCGTAACCGTAGATCTTCTGATCAAATCCGCCGCCGATAACCATCACAAACAGGGCGTCGGCGGCCAACCTCTGACACGACACCCCCAACAGGTTATCCTTGATCTGAGAGCACGAGAAGTCCACATATATCTCGCACTTGAAGTCTAACTGTGCGAAGATGGAGTACCACCGCAATATCTCGACGTTCAGGCCATCTGTGGTCACAAATATGATGGCCCGACCCCTCGGATGGGAATTCATTTGAAAGTATCGCGAGTCTCCTGATCGCAGTTTAGATGCTTTTGTCACTTTTAACTCGACATCAGTGGTGCACTCCCAGGGCTCCTTCGTTATGAACATTTTGAGCACATCCTCGGCCTCCCGGAGTCTCAGTCCAGCCGTATCCAACAGCTGTTTAAACCGACCCTGACCCTCCCGTTTCAACTCGTCCGCAATCTCCTTGATCATTTGTTGGCCTTTATTCTCATATATTTGAATTTCCTATTTGTAAATATTGGAAACTGGTTATGGTTAAAGTTTACAAGGGTACTTTAAAAATATAATTTTGCTTACTTTCATTTTGGCCAATAATGGATCTCCATTAGTAGTGGTAATCAAACCAAGGTTAATTTTATTAATTAATGTATGAATCATATCATTGATGATCTTATCGTGCGAGTCGTCCGTTTGATCCATTAGTATATTATTGGTTGCATTGGTCTCATAGGACTCGACTGTCGTTGAAGTATTAGCTGATGGTTCCAGTGATTGTTGAAGAATGTCTTGAATGGCATTCATATTCTCTATTTCCTGGCCTACCTCTGGATGAATGGATGCCTCAAAGTCAGAGAATATTAGATTAGTTTCTGAACTAATATTTTCGGAAACCAAAGGATTATCAAAAGGAAGGACTGGAGTCGAGGCACAAGCAATAGATTGTTGAATTTGATTACTTGAATCTAAAGTCTGTGTCCCTGATAAATGTGCTAGGTTAGGTTGAGTGGGAGTTGTGTCCATAAAGTAGTTGTGATTTTGATTCATAATTGAATTAACATAGACATTGTCCAAATTGTTAGTAATTGAATTGGACTGATGTTGGTTACCGTAAGCTGATTGTGTATATCCGGCAACAATTTGTTGTGTGCTTGAAGAATTACTTGTTAGTTGATGACCCTGGCCATTTACAAGGTTGCACCCTGACCACTGCTGTGTCTCAAATCCATTATTTGTTACTGAATTGAGGGACTGTGAGTACGACTGAGCCGTGTATCCATTAAAGCCACTAATAGTAGCTAATTGACCCTTGTAATTGCATTTGCCGCCAACAGTGCCATTTGACCACTGATTTAAGTCAATCCCAATGTCATCAATCGTGTTATTTCGATACCGTTTCGTAGGACTGGCGCTGTTTTGTGGCATATTGTGCGGCTTTTGTTTCTATGTATGCAAGAAATTAATGCTAACTACAAAAACTGCCATCAACTTACCAGTCTCATTCCTATTCTCAAACACTTGTGAAGCTTACAAGGCCTACAAATTTGTATGTCACAGTTTTCCAGATCGTTTGCACTCATTTGCCCATTAGGACACACTTCCTGTTAAGTTTTAAATTATCTTATTAACATATTTAACAAAATGTTTATATAAGTAACCTAGTTCAATGAAAGCATTTAAAATTACATTCAAAATATTTTATTACGATCTCTTTTCAATATAACAGAATTTACCGTTAATTTAGCATTTTTATAAAACCATTGCCTGTCCTTTTCACACGTGTAGATACCGCTCCCTTTGGGAACATAATTCTCACCTTTGAATTCAAGTAAGAATTTTTAAGTTAATTATTTAATATAAATTGAAACAATTATTGGAAATTTCATTTTACATTTACCAATTTTAGTATTCATGTTATTTGCGCTATTGAGACCACAAACACCACATTCCCGATATCCTGACATCGCTACTATAAATGTTAAAATTTGGTTTATAATGTATTTTAACATTGATCTGCATTAAATTGAATAATTAACCTTTTTGTATGTGAACATTTGAATTAAACCTAATAAAATTACTTACATTTAAAACCAGTGATTGTTATAAATATGCTACTAAATGTAATTAAATCAAATCAAAATAATAATTTTTATAAACCTATTATAAAATTCAGACAATAATTGCAGACATATTTTGAATGTAATATTCTTAAAAAACTAAACCCTTTGATAATGTGTTAACACTTTTTATATATTTTTTAGAAATGTTTGTTTATTTCGTTCGTTCAGTTCGTTTGTGAGATAATATTTTTTATGATAAACAAAACTATATAAAAATTAAGATAAATGTACGAAAGCCAAAGTTTATGATAAACATATCAACTTTCTAATTAAAACATTATATATTAGTATATTGTACAGGTGCAGTATAATCAATGTTTCATATTTGAATTTGTGTTAAAAGGATTCTGAAATGATAAGTTATATGCACTACTGAGATAATGGGTATCTCATAATTAATTACAATATTATTATATAAAAATATATTTCTTATATAATACTGTACATACAACAGAGTTTTGGTTAAACACTACTGTATAACATGCTCATGGGTTATGTGTTTATGTAATTGTCCACATTTGCAATAACATTAAAATAAGTATAAAATAATACTGTTATACACAAATAGTTTTGCTGATAAATAATAAATATTTAAATAAAAGTTGTTTGTAATAACAAACTAGTAATGAAATTACATTTATTTGTAATATTTGTAAACCTAAGGACAGAACCAACGCCCGGCCCAACAGAACTGCAATCAGAATACGTCGGGAATGGATGACACGCGACGGACGGCGACAACAGTTCACGAGAGATAGAAGGGGTGGACAGGGATTCACACGTCAATAGTCCCTAAGTATGGGTCCATTCAAGAGAAATATGATTTAATAAAAGGAATTCAAGTATTTGACAAGTTTGCAAACAATTGAATTGAATTATTTATTTGTTACTGAATTTGAAAAATGAACAATTAATCGGATATTCATTGAATTGATATCAAATTGATTTTATAATAAAATCTAGAAAATTAACTAATAATTATCTAGATACAAAATAATAACATTTAAGTAAAATTATACAAAATAGTTTTAATAATTTATGGCTTTTATTTATTCATTTATTACTATCATTATATACATTATATACTTATAGTACTGAAGATGTTAAATTGAAATGGATTAATTTGGCTTATCCGGAAGACCTGGGTTAAAATATATTTCACGTGTCATATCTAATGAAGCAATACTAATTTGTGGGTGGTCATTGTAACCATATTCAGCTGTTAGTCGATTGCGTGTCTGTTGTAATCAAATTTTGATTTCAATTTTATATTTATGAAAATAAAGTTAGTCAATTTAAATTTACCATGTCAACTAATTTAGTGAGATGTTTATTACAGGCATATTGTGCGATAGTATAACTGAATGCCTGTCCAAATATTGTTATACTTAGTAAGGGTTTACGCCACGAATTAATAGCTATAATGAATTCAAATTAAATCATATTAATTAACTTTGAGATTAAATACTGTACTATCACTTATACAAACATTTAGAATGTGCATAGATGATATATGTGCGGGTATAGAAATTCATGTTTATATTTTCAATCTGTTGGTCACTTTCTATTAGCTGGGTGGGATTTCCTATTAATATTGAGAATGCCAGTAACATAGTTGTAATGCGAAATATTGTAAATAAATATTCGTTATAAATACAAACCAATAGAGAAAGTGTTGAAAACAAATATTTTCGGTTTGTTTCGTAGAGACACACAATTAGTGTCAGAAAATGAGTCCACAATTTCTGTGAACGACATCTCATTGTCAGATCCCTCGCCAAACCCATAAATCTTGCCGCCATTCCCGCCACCGATAACCATCACAATGAGTGCGTCGGCATTAAACCGCTGACCAGACATACCCATCATTACAGTCCTTATCTGAGAACAGGTGACGTCCCGATATGTATCGCACTTGAAGTCTAACTGTTTAAAAATAGACTTCCATCGGTCGACCTCATCCTTCAGACCATCAGTGGTCACGAACACTATGGCCCGACCTCTGGGCCGGGAATCCATCTTAAAGTATCGCGAATTTCCTGATCTCAGTATCGATGCGTTTATTACTCGTAATTCAATGGTCGGTCCATATTTCCAGGGGTCGTCCATACGGAACATATTGGCTATCATAATAGCTTCCTGTTGCCATCCAGTGTTATTCAGAAATTCTTGTAGCCGACCTGGCTGCTTCAACTCCTCCCTAATTGTTTTACCCTTTAATCTTGCCATATTTTCAACTTCATTCATTTCCTAATTATAAATATTTAAATAAATATTACATGTTTTAGGTTGTTTATACAAAATTAATTACGTTCAATTTGCCTAATAATGGATCGTCGCCATTAGGCGTGATAAGTCCAAGATTAATTTTATTGACAATTGTATGAATTATATCATCGATGGCATTATCGTCTAAATCTCCTCTTTGATGAATTTGGGTATTATTTCTGGCATTAGGTTGTAATACAAGTGGTCTCTGATATGACTCGACTGCCGTCGATGTGGACGGTTGTGGTGATTGTCGGGGTATTTGTTGATTTGCAGTTATATTCTCTATTCTCTGCCCTTCCCCTTGTAGTCGGTTCTCAATGTCAAAGTTATTGAAATCAGTTTCAAAATTAATATTTTCGGAAACCAAAGGACTTAAAGTACTACCAAAGGTAAGGACTTTAGCCGAGGGTCCGGCAGTTGACATTGGAGTATGGGTTACAGGATCCACAGTCTGTGCCCCCAATATGTGCGTTATGTTTGATTGGTTGACACTTCTTTCTGTACAGTAGCTGTCGTTTGGAGTACCCATTGAATTAGCATTAATATTGTCCCTGTTGTTTGCAAGTGAATTGAGTTGATCTTGATTACGATAAGCCGATTCTGTATAGCCGGGGATAGTTTGTTGTGCGGCTGAATAACTTATTAGTTGTCCATGGTTATTTACAACATTGCACGTTGACCTCTGCTGTGTCTCAAATCCATAATTTGCTACTGAATTGATTGGCTGTATGTATGAGTGAGATGTGTGTTCATTAAAGACATTGATTGCTGGTTCATTTTGGTAATTACAAACACTGCCATTTGATGCAAACCCAATCGCTTGAGTAGTGTTACTTCGATGCCGTTTCGTACTACTGGTGCTATTATGTGGCATATTTCGTCTTTTATTTTTCTATGCATGCATTCCATTGGTAATTAATTTATAACTTAAATAAAACACTGATAAAATTACCGGTCTCATTCCCATTCTATTACATTTGTGTAGCTTACAGGGCCGACATTCATTGATGTTACAATTTTCACGATCATTTGGTTCCATCTCCCCATTAGGACACACTTCCTGTTAAATTAAACAATTGATATGATCTTATTTTATTTCAAAACATTTCAAATTGAGTGATTTTCAAAATATAATACTGTTTATGTAAATATTTATAAATCTATTTTAAATTAAATTATATAAAATGTATATTAATAGATTTCTATTATAATGAAACAAACTTACAGTTAAATCAGCATTTTTATAAAACCATTGTCTGCAAGACTCACATGTGTAGACACAACTCCCTTTGGGAACGTAATTTTTACCTATTTAGCAAGGTAAGAATTGTTATAACAAATTAATTTAAATATTAATAAAATGCAATTGAAAATACTATGTACAATTACCACATTTAGTATAGATACCACAAATACCACATTCACAATCATGCGCCATTGTTATTATCAATTAGTCTTTTAACTCATTTTACAATTTTATAAACTGTTATGAATTACAATATAAAATAATTAATTTTTGAAAAAACATTTTTAATTAAAAATAGTAATTCCACTTACAATCAAATCAATACGAGAGTGTGATAATAACTGTTCTGAAATTAATTAAATAATTTATAAAAATCCATTATAAAAAATATAATAATTGTGTGATATATTGAATTAAATAGATTCATAAAAACTACAATCGTTTCTATTGTGTTAACAATTTTTATACTTTTTAAGAAATGTTTGTTTATTTCGTTCGTTCAATTCGTTTATTAGATAATTTTTATGACACTGTATATAAAACCTTTTAGAAGTAAAGGTAAATGTAAGAATGTCAATGTTTTTATGAACATATCAACTTTCTTATCAAATACTATATTTTAATATACAGTTGTAATCAATGTTTTGTATTTTATTTAGAATTATTATAAAAGGATTGTGAGATACTGTATTTATTATATGTAATATCGAGATAATGGTAATCTCATCATTATTCTAAATTGCAATCATATAAAGTATACATTTCTTATATAATACACTGTTTTTGGTTAGAATTAAAATTATTATAAAATTAAAATAATTAAGATAATTAAATAAAATTTTAATTTTATTGCTTTTATTCAAATAATTGTTATATTACATACAAACTATCAAGTTATTTTATATCAATTAACATTTTGTATTATTTGTATCAGTTATGTAGCATTTTGTTGTATAAAAGTTGCTAAGAATTGATAGAAAAAATTATTTTCATTTGTTTTAAGTCTATTTAATGTTAACTCGAATTCAATATTCTTTGTCACATTTTTATCGATAGACCAATCGTTATATATAGCCAACACTTCACTACATTCAGGCCTTTTATTCCAATCGGGTGTACTCATCCGGTCCAATATATAACATAAATTTGACACTGGTGATTTTAGATGCTCATTTGATGAGTATGCTTTCATTCTATTAATGATAATTTAATCAATAACAAAATCTCCATAAATTGTTAATATTATATATACCTGTTAAACATTATTATATCGACGTCAAACAATTCACCGCCAGTTCGTGCCAGACTATAAATATCAACTTTGCTGTTGTATGTGCTCATGTGAATTTCCGGTGCCATATATCCCCGGGTCCCTACATCTGTCGTATGTTGTGAGCTAAGCCTGTCACTAAACTCGTCAGTACCGTCAGTTTCATTATATTCGCCGTGAAATATAGCCAAACCAAAGTCACATAGCTTTATAAATCTGCCGTTCCTTACATTGTGTGCAATCAATATATTGTCGGGTTTGATGTCTCTGTGAATGATCTGTAGATTCAATTCATGTAAATATTGAACGCTTTCTAATATCTGACAAAATATTTCACATCCAATGCAATACTCGACACAATTCATAGGTTTTCTAATTCTCTGTCAAATAATTGTCGTTTTATTCAAGAATATTCTGTAATTACTTAAAGTAAATACTTTAAAGTTTAAGTTTTGATGATAGAGTTGCATTTAAATGGTCACAGGTCTATTCATGAGAAGTAAGATTCAATAAAATTTATTAAAGTATTCAATGAATTTGTTTTCATTTGATATATTGTTTATTTGTTATAAAACATTGAATAATAGATAAATAATAATTTATAATTATAAAATATAATACGCGCTCTGATTATATGCAAATAATTTAAAGACCAGGATTGAAATATATATCACGTGTCGTATCTAACGAGTTCAGGATTATTTGTGGATGATTATTCATCCCATGCTCATCCACCAGTCGGTTCAGAGTCTATACAATTATTAGATTTAGTAAATTAAATTGTAATTTAGTCAGGAATATCATAATATACCTTTCCAACTAAATCAGTAAGGTGATAATTGCACGCATACTGTGCGATTGAATAACTGAATGCCTGTCCAAATAGTGTTATACTTTCATTGGGGTTACGCCATGAATTTAAAGCTGAAATTAGTTTTTAGTAACTTAATCACATTATTTAAATTATATATGAAAACTATTACTTGACAGTTTATGTAATACATACATTTTGCATGTGAATAAATGATATAGCTTCTATTATTATTCGAATTCAGATTCATCCGGATATTTTGATTTTGTAGGTAAGTTTCTAAGTGCATAAATATATTAATAAATTTTGGTCTCTCTCTCTCCAACATATAAACAATATAAATACAAACCAATAGAGAAAGTATTGAAAACAAATATTTTCGGTTTCATCCTAAGAGAGACATAATTTGGGTTATTAGCGGAGAATATGTCCACAATTTCTGTGAACGACATCTCATTATCGACTTCACGATTGCCGTAACCGTAGATCTTCTGATCAAATCCGCCGCCGATAACCATCACAAACAGGGCGTCGGCGGCCAACCGCTGACACGACACCCCCAACAGGCTATCCTTGATCTGAGAGCACGAGAAGTCCACATATATCTCGCACTTGAAGTCTAACTGTGCGAAAATGGATCTCCATCTCAATATCTCGACGTCCAGGCCATCTGTGGTCGCAAATATGATGGCCCGACCCCTCGGATGGGAATTCATTTGAAAGTATCGCGAGTCTCCTGATCGCAGTTTAGATGCTTTTATCACTTTTAACTCGACATCAGTGGTGCACTCCCAGGGCTCCTTCTTTATGAACATTTTGAGCACATCCTCGGCCTGAAAGGGCTCAGTAGTAGAGGGACCGTCAACCGGTTCATTGTTTATAGCGAGTGTGTCCGATAAGTTTGATTGAGTGGATGTCTTGTATATACTACAGTTTTGACCAATAATTGACTCATTATGTTGTGTAACAGTTGATAAAAATTGATGAAAAAATTTATTTTTACACTTTTTAAGTCCAGTGAATGTTAACTCGTAATTCATATCATTTTTCACAACATTTTTAACGATAGACCACTCGTTATATTGAGCCAACACTTCACTACATTCTGGCCTTATTTTCCAATTAGATATAAACATTTGGGATATTATTGTGTATAATTTTGTAACAGGTGAGCTTAGTAATTTATTTGATGAGTATGTTTGTGAACTATTACAAAATAAAATTTAATATAAATAATAGCACAATCAGTTATACATTATTATGAACTACCTATTTTCATCAATAGTTAGGACAACTACGTCAAATAATTCACCACCAATTAGTGCCAGGCTATAAATATCCGATTTGTGGTTATAATTCAAACCTTGTATATTTTCTGGTGCCTGATATCTCGCATCCCCCACATCTGCCGTATGTTTTTGTGTAATCCTGCTATGAATGCGTTTGTCGTGAACTGTAGCCAAACCGAAGTCACATAACTTAACAAATCTACAGTTCCTTACACTTTCAGCAATTAATATGTTTTCAGGTTTGAGATCCCGATGGATGACTGGTGGTTCCAATTCATGCAAATACTGAACACTTTCTAAGATCTGACGAAATATTTCACACGAAATGAAATATTCAACACAACCCAAGGGATCATTCTTTTGTCGATCAAATACTTGTGGTTTATCTTTAAGAATATCCTTTAAATTCTGTGAACAGAACTCCATTTGTATGAATAGAAACCCGGGTTCAGGCCATGACTGATAACACTCGACCACATATTGTGACTTAACTTTCACTAAATTCTCCACTTCTTTCAAAGTTTTTGCATTTGCATCCGAGTCTGAATAAATAGTCTGAATGATAGTATTATCTTAATTATAATCTCATTAAGAATACCTTTTAATTCGATCTTAATCCTTTTAATGGCAGATATCTGACCAGTAAATTTGTGCATCACTTTATATACCGTCCCAAACCCACCCTTTCCTTGCAATGATATCTCAACGAATGTTTGGTTGTATGAGATAGACGTCAAAGAGGTAGCAATCGGTTGTGGCATTTGATAAACAATCATTGGCTGATTGTCTGGATCTATTGGCTGAGTGAACGACATCTCACATAAAGCTTTGTGGACGACATAAGCATTAAACTTAAAAATAAACATTAATGATATTTAATTTTCAACATAACTTTACTTACATTTAATTTAATTATTGCTTAACACCTAAACCCCAAAAGGCCTAAACTCAAATAACTAACTGACCAGTTGACATTTTTAATTTGATTAGTGGAATGGACGTGTCTCAACCTAACCAAACCTATCCTCACCTAAATTAAGTCAAATTTNTTGACATTTTTAATTTGATTAGTGGAATGGACGTGTCTCAACCTAACCAAACCTATCCTCACCTAAATTAAGTCAAATTTTCATTGGTCGTTAGTTATTCAAGTTTAAGCCTTTTGGGGTTTAGACCTTTTAGGCTTTAGGCCTTTTCGGTTGTAGGCCTTTTGAGTGAGTCCCTATATAGACTTATGTTTCTTACCCTATGATCAGTATTGTTAGCCATATCAGCTGTATTGCTATTAAAACTATCAATATTTGAATCCAAGACCTTGGTGATGGTTGTTTTCAACTGAGCACCATGGTTAACACTGCCATCCTTTCTATTTGACCGATCGTATGATTGACACTCAATCGCCATAAGTTTGGTGTGAGTGCCAGTGTTTTGTGGCATATCCTGTAGTTTGCGTTTCTATGTATGAAATCATTAAATAAAGTAAACATCAATTAAATACTACAGTCTCTTACGAGTTGTGTTTTAGTCCCAAATATGTTTCTTACCCTATGATAAGTATTGTTAGCCTCAATAGATGCAAATAAATCAGCGACAAGATATTGGAGTGAACCCGGTGAAATAAGTGGTGAATCACTGCTGAGAGAATTTGAATTGAAATCTGTATTAATGGTTGGGGGTTCGGAAGCCAGCTCTTGTATCTGATTGTTTGCCACAACAGTCTGATATAAACCTGTGCGGGTTGACTTAAATGAATACGTGATTCATACAGTAGTTGTAACAAACCATTGGACTGTGATATGTTGGTTGCATTGGTGGTTGAGGTGTTTTGAATGGCATTCATATTGATTTCCTGACACTCTTTTGGTTCACTGGATGTCAACTCAATGGGTACAACGTCTTGCATATGAAGGAAGAGAATAAGTGTTCACATGTTGTGTTCAATCATTATATTATGCCATACCTGTGGTTAAGTTTGCATAGGATAGGTGTGCAGAGGAAGGGCCTGAAACTGGATACTGTAATTGTTTGACTGACTGTAATTGTGTATTGTATTCCTATGAATGCATTCATTATTTAAATGATTAGTCTTATAAATATGTAAATTACCAGTCTCATTCCGATGCTAAAACACTGGTGAAGCTTTGTGTTGGAGTCACATGTACATTCTGTCCCATATGGTGCACCATTTTCTGTCAGTGGACACACTGTCTTTTATATCAATTATACAAAGATTATATAAAACTTATTTGATTCACATATTTTATCAAATATAACACAAATAAATAATTAGATTCAAGGTGATAATTGTACAATGCATTCTAATGAAAATTTTTAAACATAATATGTGAATAAATTCAATCTATTTCTTAAACAATAAAAAATTAATTATAACAAATTTACCGCATTTTTAGCAATCCTTCCGAACCATTGTCTGTCGGCCTCACACGTGTAGATTCGGCTCCCATAGGGCACATAGTTCTCACCTATTTATCGCAAATCGGGAATATTATTCACTAGGTATTCATCAAACTGTACATATAAATTTATTAAAGATATAGAAATATAAAATCTAACCAACTTTGTACCACTTTTGAGTCGTTTGTTTTATAGTGTGATCATCGACTCCACAAATAGCGCACTTCTTTTTAACACAATTTTCTGATTTACAAATCTCACACATTTTTTTGGAAGACATCTAGTTATATTGAATTTTAAAACTTATTTTTAATAATTAATATTTATGTGTTGTAAAAGTTTTAGTAAGTAAAAAATACCATCATAAACATAAATATACACAATTAGCGTAATATGGATTTTTAACAATCTAAATTACAATTCTATTTTCATAACTTTTTTGGTTATAATTACAAAATCTGCAAATATTTAAAAGTAATTAAGCATAATAATTTACTAAAATCAATTACAATTATTGCATTTAATGTGTGTTCGTATAAATGAACACAACAATAATCAAATGAAATAAACAATTAAAATGTTTATATGAGAACAACACGAATGCAATCCTCACAGACATCCCATCTCTGACTAAACGCATAGTTTGTGTGCAAATGGTTTGAAATACCACTCAATTGTGGCACTCGTTTACATGATTACGTCAGACTGTGGTATAATCTCTCGTTCAACTCGTTTACGTTCACTCTGTTTATGAAACACTTTTATGTTATTTTGTCAACTATTTTAAAACAATTGTCAGATTGTTTGCAAGTTTTGGTTTATTAAATCTGGTTGAGTTGGAGTGGTTTACATAAAGTAATTGCAATAATGATTAACCATTGAATCGACCAAAGATTTTATATATTAGTTGGTATGCTATAGGTATAGATATTGAAATTACACTTACATGTGTAATTTATTGCCATTATACGAAAATGTGTTTTTTACGTACACCAAAGTGTCAATGTCAAGTAGTGTGCCCAACTCAAAATTTAGAATTCCTGGATTTTCATTTAAATATTTTATAAAATTCCCGGATAATCCTGAACATATGTTTTAAAGCCATATTTGGCATATAAAATATTTTTGCTCAACACTAACATTACAAATATAGATAAAACTATTTTAATATTCCAGTAAATAGATTTAATTAACCAACTATAAATTTAACTATAAATCATATTAAATTAAACTAGGTTTGCAAGCAATGCTATAGAAACCCACATTATAAAATCGCATATAATGTCATAAATAGATTATTTATCAATAATCAATAAGCATATAAAATTATGTACTATCACAATTAAAATTGACAACTAATTGAATATGAATTAACATTTTGTGTTTTTGCTGCATAAAAGTTGCTAAGAATTTATAGAATTTTGTTTCCATTAGTTTTAATGTTAACTTAAATTCAGTCCAACAAATGTCCAAATGTAATTTATAAACAACTTTAAAATACTACAAAGTATCAGTACAATATTACAAATACATTACATTAATGCGTGATCTCATAAAGTCAATTAATGATCAAAATGTTTTAATATGTAATCAATAATTAATAAAATACATTAATAAAATTAAATTCAATTTACTGTAGCACATAAATTTATATATTTATACAAGCATAGTTTATTGTATGTTTAAAATCTAAATACTTGAAATCAATACTTTTAAATAGACTTTATTAGCCTCTTATATAGACCCGGATTAAAGTATATTTCTCTTGATGTGTCCACAGAAATCGTAACTATTTTCGGTTGATCATTATCACCATGCTCCGATGTAAGTCGTTTGCGTGTCTATTAAATAATTATAGTTAATAAATCAAATAATGATTAAAATATAATATAACATACCGTGTTAACTAAATTAGCTAAATGTAGATTACAGGCATACTGTGCGATCGT